GCACCACTGGAAAGAGTCTGGCCCCGTCCTCCTGACACCCACCCTGCAGATATTTGGAGGCATTTCTAAGGTCCCCTCTCAGCCTTCTCTTCTCCAGGCTGAACAAGCCCAGCTCCCTCAGCCTCTCCTCGTAGGAGAGATGCTCCAGTCCCCTCACCATCCTCGTAGCCCTATGCTGGACTCTCTCCAGTAGCTCTCCAGTAGCGTTTGAGCAATGCTTGGTGCACCGCGCACTTGCCTCCCAGCTTCACCACCTTGCTCTGCTTGGCTTGCAGGATGCTCATCAACCTCATCAAGTACAAGCCCCAGATCACCCAGGAGCAGCTGACCTCCGTCACGTCCCCCCTGCCATGAGGGAACAGTGCTGCGCAGCAGGAAGCCCCGAGGCGTGTTTTGGGACGGAGGTACCGTTTCTGTTCTCACCCCTATGTTCCTCAGCAAAACAGAAACACGGAGAACACACCAGGGTGTAAACTTCCCTGTTAAGCACCAAAACCGTAGCCTGACCAGTCAGAATTCCTGCCATTACATTTCCAAAGATAAACTTTATCACCTGCACAAGCAGCTATGTCCCCCAGCTGACTGCTAACCGGAGACCTGACCCAAGCAGCCTCCTGCTCGCCCGCAGCGGTGTGCAGAGACCGAGCGCGGCTGCGGGCGCTGCTCCCGGGGAGTCCCCGGGACTCGCCCTGCTGAAGGACGCGGGCAACGGCCTTTCCCTGGCTAGCAGTTCCTAACTGAATTTCTCCTGAAAAGTTCCTCTGCAAGAGGGAGAGGAAGGATACGGCCAAATTCTAGGTCAAAGCATTTTCCCTGTTTGTTCTCCCTACCTCTGCTTTCCTCTTGTCTTTCCTCCGTTATTTGAGCTCCCTGAGCTTCACACCACAGAGCTACTTTGGCTTCTCTTTACCCTCCAGTAAATCTTCTTTTGCCTACTTCTCACCCCTCTCTCTCCAACATATCCCTAATCTGAACTTTAGCAAACCATCCATGACCCTGGGGCCTTGCTCTCTTTTCCCAAGTCTTTGCCTTGCTTTGCTTTAAATGATAAAATACAGAAAATTCTCTCTTATTAACAACAAATTTCCACCTCTGAATACACCCAAACAGCGTATCTGCAAAGAAGCATCTGCTACCTCCTCCTAAGAGAACTGCACATCAGCATTTTTCCAACAAACACCAAATCCTCTAAGGCAATCTGAGCTGAACATTAACAGCAGAATGTATATAAAACGTGGTGATATTTCTATATGTGCTCTGCATATGCAGTGTTTGTACACAAACTGCAACAATTATAAATTACTACCTACTGCTGCCGTACTCCTTGAACTTGTTCACAAGTTTGTCATCTTCCTGACCCCATAGCTCATAGAAATTTCGCTTTTTTCCCTCCAGGGTCCAGAACTTATAAAAAGAAGTGAAAAAATGTTATCAGCATAAAGAGCTCGCCTAGCATATCGGAAGATCCCTGAACGACAGGAAGTCACGCAAACCTAACAGTGACCGTCTTTTTTCTACGTGTTCATGAAGTATAAACAGGAACCTGTGATTTGTCATGGTGGAGAAACTGTGCTGTGGCTCTCTCCTCGCCGGCCTCACGAAGTCCTGATGGTTTACACCAGCTGTAGTTCCATCACGCCCCGATCTGCCGCTGCGAACACGGTAGAAGAGGTGCCTCGGAATAAAACATCGACTTTCCACACAGAATCTGCCGAGCTGTGGAGCTGTAAACCTGGTCTGCTCGCAGAGCTCAGCTCACCTGAAAATTAAATGTGTTAACTCATTTTATTCAGATGGGAGAGAAACCCATATGCAACTTCATCTCTGGCTCCTATCCCTTTAATTCAAGGCGATCAAGGATATGTAAAATTTAAACCAAACCAAGTAACTTCAAGCCTGTTTAAGTCCAGAGAGAGGGTGCATCACCTTAAAGAAACCCACCGAAAGAGTGAGTTAAATGGATGGAAAATCAGGGTATAGAATCTTATGTTATGGAATATGATTGTACTTCTAACAAATAGTCACAGACACCAAAATAAAAGAAAGGTGCTTTGAATCTTAAGCTTATGAAGCATAAATGCAAATGAGTTAAGATCTGCCTGTAATCGCTTCTAAACTATTTCTCAATAACCAAATCATTATTTTTGCATTTTTATAGCACTGTCCTTGGAATACACCCCACACTAATACAGGCTGCTCTAGGGGAGTTGCAAAGTTGCCTTTAAGCACAGCAGAAGATTATCCTGGCCATCCCAAAGAGGGTGAGAAAGGAGAAAAATGAGCAAAATGGCATAGACAGGACAGAACCTGAACTGCTGAAGCACCCGCTCAGCAGACAGAGGTTTAGAGAAAGCACTGGGAGGCCGCCAAATCTACACCCCAGGTGGTTTGACACAAAAACAGCTTTTGGGTTTTCACTTTCTTTTACATCAAAAGAAATTAGAAGGCATGTTAAAAATCACATGTCAAAAACAGTACTATAAGAAAGAAATATTTTTCCTGGAAACCTTTGGCTCGGAGGAAGAGACACCCAGGTACCAGGTTCTTCCGGTGGATGTACCTGGCCATGGTCATCCCAGGAGCCTTTCAAAACATCGGTAAAGTAAAGGAACATTGCCAAACAAACATCTCATGAAACGCAAACCCCGTTTATTACCATCAGAGAGAAGGTTTTGGAGTCAGACTGAAGAGCTCGACCAGACTGAGTCCCATCGTAATCGATCATGTCTATACTGCTAGGCAACGTTTTCACTGAGGATATAAATAACGAGAAGAAAAAACACTCATTAGTTTTGTGGCTGGCAGCAAGATGGAGACACACAGCTGCAAATCCCCTAGCAACATGTTAAACATCAAAATCCTCACGGCAAATCAGAGAAATAGGCGAGAAGCAGCCAGCTCTGCTCTGTGAGGACGCAGGTAACACACGACACGGGTACGCAACGCGACTCTTTAGGGAGTTGTGCGGGTCACAACGCAGTTGTAACAAATCACAAGCTAAGAGCTGCCAGTGGTTTGCTGCCAATTAAAGCCCAAAGTCATTCCTGCGTAGCAGGGTACACGCAGAACGACAGACAGGACAGAAACACAGGCTGCGACACACGCGGATCACGGTTCCGTTTTCCTCACCTCTGGCGAGGAGTTTGCTGGAGCGTTGGGACAAATCCTGGGTACCTCACGTCTGGGAAGCATTTCCCTGGAAAGAGAACAACGGTGACAGTCAGTGATCCAGAACACAAGAAAAGGAAAGCTAAAATAGACTGGGGTTACCTGCTTTAATAAGCAAGGCTGCAGGAACCTGGAAGTCTTCATATACCAGAACAGACTGCCCCCAGGACAAAAAGCAGCCGGTCGGTGCCCGGCAAGGGGAGCAAAGCACCGGGATCGGCTGCCTGGGAGAGGGGGGGAGCTGCGAGAGACACACAGAGGTTTAAGAGGCTTTACCCAAGGATCAGTGATGTTTTCAGCACCAAAACCACGGTTAGATGGCCAATACTGCGTTTGCTTAAGATTTTATGTTCTGATGAAAATCAGTCTTCTGGAATTTGGGGGATGGTTTGGGTTTTCGGCTTTTTTTTTAAAATCCAGTGATGACCAGATTTTTCTCATGGGGTATCTTGGTAGTACAAATTCAGGCAAGATATATACTCTAATTGCTGTCTTTGTGGTTAATGACTTCGGCTCTGAATCAAAAGCAACCCCCGTTTCCTCCATCACCTCTGTTTTTCATTGCTGCGTTACCTTGAATATCCAATAACGCTTTGGAATAAATTCTTCCCCTCTTCTTGTCTGTATTTGTCAGAAATGATTCATTTAAACGAGCGCAGTATTCACAAAGAGCTACCACCGCAGCAAAGCCGCAGCCTCACCGCGCTAGCCTCTATCCCCAGCAGACTCTGGAGAATCTGTGCCACGGTCCACAGCGATTCTCCAGCATCTTTCAGTCCCAGCTCAGCAGGGCAAGAGAAACAAAAAGGATCCAAGCATGTAACACCAGATGGTGGAAAAATGGCTCAATTTCGAAACGGTGTACATGTACAGAGGATCAGAGAGCCTGCTTGAAAACACATCCTCTTTTCCACGTGGTCTGAGCATCGATTCCACTTTTGATCTCAGATCAAGGAACTATGACTATTTCATATTCCAGTATTGTCATGCTGCACCTTCATAGAACTACCTAAGCATTTAAAAAATGGAACATGCAATGAAGTAGCCTATTCTGCACAGAAATTCTGAAACACTTGTCCTTGGTTCAGACGAGAAGCAGGTGCCGCGGTGCAGGCAGAGATCGCTGCAGGACTTGGAGTGCAGACTGGCTGATTTCCCTGCTCGTGCACTTGAGCTGCCCGAACACCGCTTTGCAAAAGGGTTCTGACGTGGTCCTTCTAGTCACTTCAGCAGAACGAAGCCAGAAAGGCAGATAGAGAGGTCTGCTCCTACCCTGACGCCAGCACCACCGCTGCAGAGCTTCGATGCAGCCAGCCGGTGCTCGGAGCTCACCCGGCTTCAGAGGAACCCACAGCTCCGTCCACGCCACGGCCAGCACGGCCAGCTGCTGCCTGGGCCTGGCAAGGACTGGCTGTGCTCTGCTGCAGACCCCACGGAGATTTTGCTTTACCTTGCAAGCGCAACCTGCAATGTTCTGGGGCGAGTTTCACACCTCCTAAAACTTGGCCAACGCGTATTCGAATGGGTCCCTGGGGGATTCCAGCGATGCTCGTGTGCGTGCTTCTGTTGCTTCAAGGAACTTACATTTGCCCCTTTAAGGCAACTGTTCTCTAATACCATGCATCTTCATGGCTGAATTATTTTTATTTCTCCCCTCTGTGCTCTCTTGCCCATAGTTATTTTCCTGGGCAGGATTACAGTAGCCTACATTAAGATAAACCCCTGGCCCCAACCACAACAGCTTCAACGGGCACACTGACTTTTCATTTTTACATTACCATCCAGGTAGCATCATCTCAGGCAGCATGCAGTTTTTCACATTTGATGTATTCCACGTGATTCCTAGGCAACAGTTTCTGCACATTGACTCCCTCTCTCTCTCACAGCATTTATTTCGGTTTCTGCATAAGCCAAAGGTAGCCGAGACAACACACAGATACCACGTAAACACGACAAATAGAGGAGGGCAATTAATCGTGCACAAATTGGATTTTATTTACACCTCTACAATCTGAGCTTTAATATTCAGCATGGCTCAGCCAGAGGGGACCTGACAGCAGGCTGCTGTGCTCAGCGCTGGGGCCAGACTGGGGCGGACGCCAAGCCGGCCCCGCCGCGGCCGGGACGTTCTCCCTGAACACCTCTCCTTTCCATCTTCAGCTACGGAACACAGGAGGCAACACGGAATCATTTGTTTCAACAACTGCTGAGGGCCTCCCAGGACCCAGTCAGGCAGATGCAACGGTGTCCAGCGAGCGTTCTTGCTTTGCAGTTCAAGAGAGATTTCAGAGATAAATTCCCCCTTCTGTTTAAGAGCCGAGTAGCTATTTAAGTGGAGGGTTTCCATTTATATTTTTCTAACTGTAGCTCAAAGCTTAAACAAGTTAAGCATCTACCAACCTGAAGCCAGTGGGATTTCAGGTCTCTCTTGCACAGGTTGTTTTGGAATTCGTTTTTTGGTTTTTTGGGGTTTTTTTCCGGTAAGCAAAAAGCCTAACTGCAATCTTGGCTACATAAACACGTTGCCACTTATCTCTACTGAAAAGCTTCCTCCTAGTATAATTCAACATTTCTCTAGTAGAAGGAAAACCATACACTTAATTTTCCTATTTTCTGCATGATTAGTGCATGGGTTATTGCAGCATTTCTTCTACGCTAGACTTTCGGTAATGGTTTGTAAATGATTAGGTTTTAAAGCCTTGTGCTTTTCACGGGGTTTTTTTTCCCCATCTGAAGTTTCAGGCTAGGTTCAGCATCTGTCTTCTGAGGGCTCCAGCGCATCTTCTTGGGTGGTTCCCGACTTGTGTTCCAGAGCTGCAGGGAAGCGGGTTCAGCTTCAGCTGCGTAATTATCCAGAGCAGCTTTGGCACTGGGAGCAGCCTGTGCTCCAGGTGCTCCTCAGCCGTGGCACAGCGGAGCAGCCACCCTGACTGTCCGCGGGCACCCGCCGCAGGCCGTCACATCAAACAGTAGTCTCTGTTTTTTTAACAGCTCGACTGTGCAGGTGCTGGCATATCAGACTCTTCTCTTTCAGGTACCTGAGATGAAGAGAGCGAGAATGCATTTAAGTAACAGAATCCTGCTAAAACGGAACCCAAATTCTAACGTGCTAGTTGAATGGCTGAAAAATGTTATCATGAAAGCTTTTCTGATAGAAAATGGCAATGGCTATTTATTTTTTTCTTTAGGTTTCCTGGCCCCTTCGATTCAAAGCGATCCTCAGACAGTCCTTTGTTAACAGACCCCTGGCTGGTGTGGACGCTCACTGCTTTTGACCTCGGGACTCACGCCCACGTTCAGAGATAACGGTGCGCTTCTCACTCGTGCCCGTTGTGGATTTTGAGCTGCTGTCAGCAGAACTCATGCCATTTATCCAGAGCGAAGCTTTAGAGGGACACTAAGAATTTGGCACTAATCTAGCTTGAATGCTGTGCTACCTAAGCAGTGCCCCAGTACGCACTGCATTTGTACCCGATACACAGCAGCACGTAGAGACTGAGGAACCAGTCTTCGGCTCAGAAAACAAAGTAAACAGAACTAGCCCTGAGGGTCTGAACTTTCTGGAAAGATCCCCCCACGTGTATGCAGTCAGTATTTATGCTGGAATCTTTAACACCACCAGCTCATCTGGATGTACAGGATATAGCAGGATTATAAACCCCACGAATGCATTCGCCTCTTGGGCCAACCCAGAAGTGTAAATATTCTGCTGGGCTCCAAGCAACCCCACTAGTTTTACCCCTATTTACCTTGCAATTGTCTGCTGAATCTCCTGTTCTTCTTCTTCATTGATTCTGTGCAGAATTGACTCCAAGAAGGGCAGATGAAATGGAATATACTGAGCAACCTATCAGGCAGACGACCAGAGACGCCCATTAGCGAGCACGCTGACTGGGAAGAACGCTGCGAACTGTTAGAACTGAGGATATACATACGTCACTGCTGATCTCTTCCACATCCCTGTCCATGAGAAAAAACTTGGCAATCTTCTCCGAGGGCCCCTGCAAGAGTCTGTGCAGTAAGGGAACGTCTCCACTCCTCAGCTGCTTCTTTTCTGGGATTTAAAAGAACCGTTGTGATGCCCAGAACATGGAACAGTGCCTCCAGCTACCTCACGCAATCAGTAGTCTTTTTTCTTGACAAAGATCCTGTATTTGACTGATGTGCAATTATTAGATACCTACCAAGTCTAAGATATGTTTTCAGGAGGATGTGGCACCTAACTTCTACTACGCGTTTTGAAAGAAATTGGTAGAATCCGCGATTTCGGTAGCCAAGTAAGCATTTAAGAGACCAGTCCCAGGCCCACCAGCTTGACCATGACTCCCCAAAACAAAACTTACTACATAATTTTCAAACATCATTTCAACTTCCTATTTTGACATTTATGGTATGTGCCCATCCGTTCTGTCTGGCATTCTTTCAGGTATTCCATTTAATAAAGAGAAAATTACCTGTTTTGCTGAAGGAATAGAGTAGACTGTGCTGTGGAAGGAAATGTTCTCCACTGAAAAACGAGTACTTTTAGCTAGGTATCTGCAACCCAGGACTACCATCCAAAACTGTGAATTAAAATGTCCCATAACACTACCAGCAGGAGCCTGGCATCCCACGGTTGCAGTGTGGCTGAGCAGAACAAAACTTAGAGCCGAAGAGCATCTTAAACACAGCCTTTAAATACAGGAAGGACGCAGGCCTGTTTAGCTGAACCACCCACACTGGCAGCACGCTGACAGCCCCCCGAACACGACTGCTCAGGTTCTCCTCCCCGTCTCTCAGAGCACAGAGCTCTGCAGGGTCTCCAGCGCAGCCGCAGTGCCACACGCGCCCGCGCTGTCCCAGCAAGGGCAGCTGCCCGCGGCGGAGCCGGCCGCCCCAAGCTCGTCAGCGCACACCCGCGCACGGAGGACAAGCAGAGACGGAGCGACCGCGCCGCAGCGTCTGCCTTACCTCCGGAGGCGTGGATAATGTAAAGGGCAAACTCATGGGGGCTGTTTTCTATCTGTTAGACACAAACAAAAAAAAGTCGGTTCAGACTGACGGACACACTTCCCTAGCATTTCACCCTGTGCTTCTCAACTCAGATATTTACATCAAAGGTCGAGACCGGGCTCCTGTCTGTGGAAATGTTACAGGAGACCGGGCTTGGGTAAGGCAGAAAGCTATGCTGCCATGCTCATTGTCCCTGCCCCCACCACCTCACGGCTGCTTATTGCCCAAATCAGTAACAACACCAGGTCTCTCCAGCCACATTTCCTTGGAGCATCCTTCACCACTCCAACTTTCTTTTTGGGTGATGTGCATATTTGCTGAGAGCATTACCATTAGGGGGAAGCCCTGGGATGTCTTCCTCTTCACTTGCCCACACATCCACACTCGGGAAACAGCAGTCCTTTGGGACAACCATTTTTCAACTTCTTCTCCACAACTTTACAGCCTGCTCTGTAATTCCATTCCTTATGTCATTAAGCAATAACAGCAAAGTCTCTAGACAAGTTAAATGGAGAATTATAAAAAATCATCCACTAAGAAGCTACACCCAATAAGGACACTGGAGAAACATGCAGCACCAGTGGTAAATGTATTTCTGACTGGGTGTAATCATGCTCATGGAAGCTGCTACCAAAGAAATTCCAAATCAAAAAAAAAGTCATTTTAGACAGTATGGCACTGATCTTGAGCACTAGTTTTAACTCTTTCTGGAGCTTTCTATGTGCCTGGATCTAACAGAACGCGTACCCCAGCCACTCGGGCTAGAAGAGAACTCCCTCTTGTTTGAAGTGAAATACACCCAGCGGTGCCCCACACTAGAGGGAAGCACGGCCACGGGCGTTAAGCAACCAGGCCTTCTCCGCGCTGGGAAACGCTCCAAGTGCAGCAGCACTGTCCCCTCCTGTGCCTGAGCCGACAGAGAAGCGGTTCTGTGGCTCTTCCCTCACTGCACACCCAATACACCTTTTCTAGACTCAGACAGCCGTGAAACATTTGTAAAATAAACCCAACCCATTCCTTAAATGTGGCCCAGGTGGTTTTTTCCCTATGCTCTAGTCTCTGCACTGTCCCCTCCCAGTTTTTCCCTGCCTTTCACGCCGCACTGGTGTGACACGCTGGAGTTAACGTCTCGAACACGGCTGCACTTGCTTCTGCAAGCACGCAGAATTACCTTAAACTTCCGAAGCAACTGTTCTATTACTTGTTTTGTCCTCATCAGGCTGTTTATTCTTATTTTGGTTTCTGATCCAAAAGCAGGAGTGAAAACTGATGTCTAGGAACAAAACCAGCAGCAACAGGGCGTGAGGAGTGCTGGGACCCCAAGGAGACGAACGGGCACAGCCCCGGGACAGGGCAAGCTGTCAGGCACACGGCCACACGCCGTACAGCGAAGGGTGGGCCGTGTCCTCAGCGGGGCACGGACGTTCATACCTCGTAGTTGTAGAAGTGGCCATTAATGGAAAACCTGTGGGTTTCTACTTGTGCCCTCGCTGCCGTGGGGAGCTTGGTCCTCTTCCGCACAGCCGCCGCGTGGCTGCCGGCCCTGGGCAGCGTCGCGCAGTCGTGGTCCTGCTCGCTCGTGCACTTCAGAGTGCGGCTTTCGTAACACAAATAACCTGGACAGTAGGAAACCACATCAGCATCTTGTACAGCCGCTCTACCCTCCTTGCCAGCACCCCCACAAGGCTCTTGGTGGAGGGATATTTTTAAATTTTATTTTATTTTTTCTTGGGGGGGTGTGAATGGGAGAGGAGCAGGGCACGGGCGTTCAACAAAGAGCAGTAGTCTGTCTGCCGTGGCCACAGTTTGCTGTTTTGTTCACTGCTTGGGAATGATTTCGCTGGTGAAAGCACAGCCCGTTAGCACCAGCCGTCTGAAAAGCTACCTGCAGAGCAATGTCTTCACTAACCCGTCTCACGTCAGTGTTTCACTCCCATGTAAGGGATGTTAGAGACAGAAAGAGATTTCCCTTTACCGGTAGGGAGGGAGCAATGTGTCAAATTATTTTTGCACAGTCACCAAACAAAGAATTTTTAGTGAATGTAAGAGCACCACCACTAACTTTTCTCAGTGTTTGGCTTTTCTTCAGTAGATGTCAACGTCTCCCCGCTAATATGATGCAGATCATCAAATTCTCCCCAGCGTGTCATTCCCCTGAAATACCAAACAGATTTATAGTTGATTACTCCTCGTTAATTCAGTGGTTTCAACTTATCCTGTAGCCAGACTTCATGCAATACATTCCTATCCCTGTTCAAAACTTTACAGAACACAACTACAGACTTCAATAAGGCATATTAAGCCAATAATTTCAGTTTATGTCATGATAAAATTAGCAAAATGGGGTATGACTAGGGACCCAAATGTAACACAATCCTATTTAGAGCCTGTTGAACATCGACCATGATGTCCCTTAAACAATTTGCAGTAATTCTTTATTTACTAACTAATCCCCAGGCATACAGAAAAACTCACACATGTTGTGGTTTAAATCATCACAGGATGGATCATGGCTGTTATACAGATGGGCACACGAAAGGCTGAACTACGGTGCTAGCCCCTTGTGCTATCCAAGCCAGCTCTGTACGAGAGCAGGGAATTCCACCCAGCCCGTTCTGAAACCCCAGCTTGCTTTCTGCCAGTATTTCCACAGCTCATTGCACATACTCTCTAGCAGAAAGTCTTTGGCCAGTTACTGCTCGGACTGAGAATAAACCAATTGGTAGGAAAATATTAAAAATTCATTTCCTATATATATATTCAAACCATACTTCAACTAACTCCAGTGAACACGCCAAACGACTATCTCAGCTGTGTTCCATGCATTTTAGAAGTTCATTTAAGATCAAACAGCCAAGCTGCTCTGCATACCTTAAAGCATGTCGGGGCAGCTTCGCATTTCTGTGATCACGAATTAATATTTACTTTAAGATTCAGATCTCCACCAGTCAGAAGTTTTTTTTTTTTAAGAAATAAAAGGCAAAGCCTAACTTTAACTGCCAGACTGGACCCTGTGCTACCGGCCACACACACCCTGTGCCAGCAGACCTGGTCAAGGTGCACGACGAGAACCAGATCTGCCTCGGGCCCGAGCTCTTCCCCGGTTACTCCTGCCAGGTTACATCCCTTAATTTCAGCAGCAAGAGACAGGGAGGAAGACTGTCCCTGACTTCACTGGAACCCCACAGCTGCAACAATGGTAGAATTAAACCCACAGTTCAAACACGCACCGCATGCAATCTAAGGCAATGGATAATTAAGAAAATGAGCTCTGAAATACAGAAATTATCAGGGAGTCATTCAGGGTAAACGTTGGCTCAGCCTCCATATTACACACATTGCACAGCTTCAGCTCATCAGATGCAATTCAGAATTCGCCAGCCAAGGTTGGGAAACACCGTTCAAAGCAGAGAGGAGAAATACTAAGAACCCACGTCAGTTTTTAAAGACGCAGCAAATCTAGCAGGGGTCAGATCAGCACAGTGCACTCCGGCGTGACACGTCGGAGGCAGCAGCCTGAAGGAGACGTACGCAGCGATCCGCTGCCAAGGGGTTTTAACATCAGACTTTGCACGGACAAAGCCAGTGCTCGTTCTCTGCCTTGAACGCTGCCCCGAGAAGCAGTGGGGTCACACCTGAAGCACCCGGGAAGGTAACCTGCAGTAATCACTTGGCACTAACCTACCAGCTTTCTGCTTCGTGCAATAGAATGTGCCCTAACACAAGGTCTTTCCAGGGCTGCTAATGTCATTAGGTGTCATCTATACATGTGGGTTTGGTTAATTTTTTACAGACATAAGTTTCCCAGTACGTGCACAGGAATAGTCAGTATAGACAAGAGCAGCCTCTTCCACCTGGCAGCCTGTTCCAGTGCTCCGTCACCCTCAGAGGGAAGAAGTTCTTCCTCATGTTCAGACGGAACTTCCTGTGCTTCAGTTTGTGCCCATTGCCCCTTGTCCTGTCGCTGGGCACCACTGAAAAGAGCTTGGCCTCATCCTCCTGACACCCACCCTTCAGATATTTGTAGGCATTTATAAGGTCCCCTCGCAGCCTTCTCTTCTTCAGGCTGAACAAGCCCAGTTCCCTCAACCTCTCCTCGTAGTGGAGATGCTCCAGTCCCCTCACCATCCTTGTAGCCCTCCGCTGGACTCTCTCCAGTAGCTCTTCATCTTTCTTGAAGTGGGGAGCCCAGAACTGGACACAGTACTCCAGATGAGGCCTCACCAGGGCAGTGTAGAGGGGAAGGAGAACCTCCCTCGTCCTGCTGGCCACACTCTTCTTGATGCACCCCAGGATCCCATGGAAAGCAGACAAAGATGCAACGAAGATGCTACCAAGACACCTCTTTCCACCCAGCAGAAGCTGCTGGAAGACCACACCAGCTACAGACTACTGCTGTGCAAGCGACCACCACCAGCCATATCCAAGGAACCCACCTACACGAGCTGTCCTGAAATACCAGCCTGCCTCCTCCTTATGGAAGTCAGTACGTTACCTTCTACTAGGGAACGAACCCACATTCTCTGTTGACTTCAGCGTTACAAACGAGGGTATCTGCTTCTCATCCTGAATTTTTAATCGGATAGGATGTCGGATTCCCCAAAATATTGACAAGATTCCTTCAATAAATGGTTTGCTTCCTTCTCGCTGGGGGAAAAAAAATAAAAAGGAATAAGGAGTGCTGCATAATAAAGTAATAATAATCAAGTAACAATAATTATTTTCCCTTCAAAGTGACAACAATACAATAAAATTGCTGAGGCCAACACAGCCCTGAAACAGGTCACCTAGAGAGGCTGTGTAGTCTCAGTACTTCAGATATTTCCAGAACAGCTAGCTAAAGCTGCAGCTGACCTGATCTCCTGTCAGCATCAGTCTGACTCTGACCGGGAGGTTTTCCAACCAACGTGTCCGTAATTCCATACAATCCCAAGTCAAATCCTACTTGTTCTACTTGGACAATGAGCTCTTCTGAAACCAGGGTGCTGAGGTGGTGGTATGGGGAAGAACGACTGCTGGTGAAGGAGGAAGCAGCAGTTAATGCAATCATCCTTGCTGACGCAGCGCACTGCATCCGTCCAAAACCTGTTATCGGTCCCCATTCTCGCTGACATAGAACTCTGTCACTGCAGAACGAGCCGGGACAGAGAAGTGAGGACTGCCCATTTTCAGGCCATTTTTGCCCAGAAGTGCTCTAGTGTCCTCCTGGGTCTTGACACCAGCAAAACAACCGAAACACAGCTTGTGAAGGAGAAGGAAGTTCTGACCTCCAAAGCAGGGGCTCTGGTAGGAGAGACAGGCTTCACGCTCTCCTCTGTCCTTCAGCTCCACAGGTGCTCCTGCTCTCCACAGAGACGCACTCCCGGGGCTACGCTTACACGTGACTTCTCTCTACTGAAGGTCCACGTTCAAGGAGAGAGCAGTAGTGTGCCCTTGACCCGAGTGATGGCAGTCCTGCCATGACCCGCTGAGGGTTCCAGCTGAAGGGGCGAGGGGGCATGGCACCCCACAGAAACATTTGCAGTACTACTCCCTCCCAGCTAACGATTTAAGACTGGAGAATAAACCCAAAGAATGATCTCTTGCGATGTGCTAAAGAATGGGATGGCATGGAGATCACACTCAAACTGAAACGCCCACTAGTCTGGCCATACCTATTTCTGCTCTCTTCTCCTCACAGCATTTTGCTTGACCCCTTGCTGTGACATTTTTATCGCAGTGATATGTTCCATCTAATATGCTAACACAGAGCAGGTATCCTACACTGTTCAGTCTGGCTGCATTAAACATCAGCGTCTGTTGGTGCTTTTCCCACTATTACATTGTGCTTTTTCTATTATTTTTACATAGAGCCTTACCTGGTTATGTGACAGTTGCAGATTTTCTTGATCAGAATAGTACGAGTTATAAGTCTTCAGAAGAGACCTGAGCTGCTCTCTAGAATAAAAGATCACAACAAAAAGAACAATTTTTAAACATCTCTGTTGCTGCAAAATCGAGGTGCTAAGTGGCAGGGTAACACCCGGTGTCTGTGTTACTGCCTGCATCTTCGTGCAGGCTTGTTAAGGATTAATACGCCATTTTGTCAGGATACTGGGTGGCTTACAAGTTGCTTCTTTAAAGACCTGGTGCCCAGAGGAAATTAGTCACGTCTGGTGTGACGTTAAGAACACTGCCCCAGAATAACTTGTACTTTGGACTGCTGTTCTAGTCAGGAGGGGGAAGCAAACAGGAACAACACTCCCGTGCACCACTGTCGCAGATTATTTCGTTAGGTTACAATCTGTTTTCCCCACATGACGGTTTCAATTGGGTTTTTATATTTTTTCAGATACTCTTCTTCCTTCACAATATCTACAATGAGCCTAGACAAAACACTTCAGTTTCCTTCTGCTTGAAAGAGCACAGCTTTGCACTAAGTCTTTGCTCAGAGGAGAAAGGATGGAGATGAAGAGAACCTCTGCCAACAAGCACGGACTATAAACCTGCCCATCATCTCATATTTCAAACAAAAATTCATGATGCCATTAAAATAAGCAACACAGCATTCCGCTTTCAAAACAATGCATTGAGACAGGAAGGCAGTGTGAGGCACCCTGGTGCTAATGATGTTTAAAACTTCATATTAGCTTAACATTAAATTAATATTTAAGAACCACCCTGGGAGATAACTATGCCTGTCTCCATCCCTGATAAATTTACACTACAGGAGAAAAGGGTTTCAGAAAACATTTCAAATTTGATGGCGTTTCACAATGACCGTACTAGAGCTACCGCACATCCCCATTTCTTGGCCACAGCCACCTCCTCCTTTTGGCAGCTTTGTCTGGAAAGAGCGAACTCCAGCCACTGCATTTTCGCCACGTGGTTCCCAAGCCCCTGGGAAGCTGGAGCAGGCCCTGGGCTGCTCAGCATCCCGACACGCCGTCAGCCCGAGGTGTGCGGCTCAGGCTAAGGGGGACCAAAAAAGCACAGCTAAGTGACACGTATTTCAGGACCATCAAGAATGAAATGCTCTTCCCCACACCGATGAAACAGCAAAGATCTTCTAGACTTTAATTAAACAAAGCAATGACCCCCAGCCACTGCATTTTCGCCACGTGGTTCCCAAGCCCCTGGGAAGCTGGAGCAGGCCCTGGGCTGCTCAGCATCCCGACACGCCGTCAGCCCGAGGTGTGCGGCTCAGGCTAAGGGGGACCAAAAAAGCACAGCTAAGTGACACGTATTTCAGGACCATCAAGAATGAAATGCTCTTCCCCACACCGATGAAACAGCAAAGATCTTCTAGACTTTAATTAAACAAAGCAATTCCCACCAGTGGAGATAATTAAGCAGGGGAAACAATTGCATGGAGGCGTATGAGCTCTTCCTCACGGACAATCCATAAGCAGCAGCTGAAACGATGAATAAACAAGACGGTTTAACGGGGTTTCTGGCAGGGGTGAGTGAAGACACCAAGTTTGTTTCCAAACAGCATCTATTATTTCTGTGTTTTTGTCTCGTATGAGGTAGCATAACAGCCAAATCTCATGCAAAACAGAGAGCGTCTGCAGACTCTTCTCACAGTAAGCTCCACACAGCCCTACTGAAAATACTCCAGACCCACGTACGATCAAACGTACTATTACAACTCCTATACCAATTTTAAGTTGAGAAAACCAAACAACCCAAAACCAAGGACTGACTTCCAGCACTGTCACTGTAAATCAAATCACACACGTGAATGACTTTCAGTAGAAGTTAGATTTTAACTATTCCAACAGCCAGAGTTCACCAAGAACGTCACAGAAACAACATCAGCGGTGTGGGAATATGTGGACCAAGCCCACAGCAAAGTACCACACACCTCTTTCTGCCAGAGATACGTTTAGAGAGGAACCTTACAGCACAGCCTTGGGGCGTCGGAAACACTGGCATGAGCAGTCTCAGCAGAATTTTTAACTCTTGTTTTGCTGTAACTGTCACCACACGCCCACAGCCCAGGACATGAGGGTGATATCAGTGGTGACAGTGACACCCTTATCAGAGATGACAAAGCCAAGACTGATCTCTCCCCTAGGAAAGGCATCAGCCTGCCCAACACTGCAAAGCAGTTCAGAAGGATGTTGGCAGGGGTGAAATGAATCATTGCATCTCGGATTCTGACTCAGTTTACTCAAACTGTTTAAGCGGCTGCACGGCTGACTGTGTAAACTTAACAAATAAAATATTAAATAGTCAGTGTTGCTCAGGGGATCTCACGTAAGATATTAACAAACTCCAATAAATCAGTGCAACAGCAGAAGCTGGATTATGCAAAGAAACACAAATCACATAGGTGGAAAGCCCTGTGCCTTATTTTAAGTGCACCAGTCAGACAACAAATATCTCTTCTCCTGGGACTCTGATAGCCTCAGCCCAGCAGCGAACACCCTTACGACAGGCAGGCTCCTCTTCCATCCTCAGCCTCCCCTTTGAGCTCAAAGCAGGTGCCTCACACAGGACTGCGTTTCGCAGCCACCTCTTGCAATTCCTACGCTGTGTTTGGGGCAGAGGGGCACGCAGAGCGTGCCAGTGGCACGCTTTCCCTCCCTCGCTCCACTTCATACACTGACCTTGGCAGTGCCCTGCTGCTTGGTGAGCCCTTGCCCTTGGTGAGAAGAGAGAAGAAACAGGGCTTTTATTCAGCAGGTAACATTAGGACAACAGCTGCACCACCTAACTCAGCAAGGTTAACTGCATTCCCTTCTAATGCTCTGGGTGTAAATTATTCACTTCATTAACTTTTTGCAACTCCCCCAAATATATTTTGAAGGGGCTTTATCAACAGAGTGCTGAGCTCCAAAACAGCATTTTCAACATCTGCTTCAAGTCACTTTGCTCTTCAATCCTAGGGACACCGGTGCTGAAAGCCTTCCTTCCCACTCTGCTGGAATGGCTCATGACAGGCTCTTTGCATCTTGTGAGCTAGGAGGGATTGCACGCCGGTCACCCCACCGAAATGGAAAGCTTTGATAGACTTCGATACGAATCAGGTACCAGTGAAATTCTGATCACGCGGGCTAAATGCAAGCAAGATTAAGCACGCCTTGGCCTCATACACAGGCCAAATCCAGATGCAACGCAAGATTAACCAGCAAGTAGGAGATACGCAGTTTTGTTTGACAGATGTTGTGATAGACCTGCTGATCCTGCCAGCAAGGTGCTGAAGTCTTCTCATACTTTGCAGCCTAATACCTTTGGCAATCATTTTATTGACAGCTGTGATCTTGCAAGCTTTTTCCAGGTAGCAAGTTGGGGAGATCAGTTCCCTGAAGACAGATGAGGAATACCTAAGGACTTGGGTCACACTCTGAGGCCCACCTATTACTCTTAGTCCACCTTGGCTGCAAAGTCAAATAAAATCATAGGCTGAAAGCCCTGCGTGAGGTGGTACGGGTTATCTCGGGGGCAGACACCATTTCTCAGAGTAAGCTCTGAAGATTTTTACTTAGTTTCTTGCCTTGTCTAGAAAAGTTTCCCATCAATTTCCACAGAAGTTTGCACAAGTAAATCTTTCATGTTTCAGTCTTGCATTAGTGCATCCAACTGTGACAACCCACACAAGCCATTAGAAGAACCCTGAGGGAGAGATTTAACAGCAGCTCCCACTGACTTGTTTGTCCTTGTGTAGCAGAGAGACACTAGAAAAATCTTTCTTCTTTTAGCCCCAGAAAGGAACAGCATGTGCACCAGCCTATGAGTTCTGGAAGGAGTCTTACTGTAACACATCTCCTCTGGGAAGGCCCAAAGACTGCCCTAACCGAGAGGCAGATGGTCATCTCCTCGGAGTTGTGCTGCCAGAAAGTCAGCAGCTCTGTTGTGTTGCGAGACTGCTCCTCACGGCACGGCTTCGTGGCAACAGCCCAGTGCAGCCAGTCACAGAAGCCAAAGGCAAGTAACTGGCAGAACAACTTAGAGACCAACCCAAGGAAGGTAACACTTACTGCAGATTCACCACTTTCTTCAGGAATGAAGGCAGGCTACAAGGAAGCCGTCAGGTCAAGGGCCCCGGTGGCAAACCACAGAGCCCAGACCATGTTCACTTGAAGCACTAACCCAAGACATTTCACCTGCGCCCTCTTCCCCCCCGAGCCCCACACATTTCTCCACGGATATTTACAGCAGTTCTGCTTAAAGACACCACAGTTCAGCCAGGCAAGTAGTCCTGCACGCTTTGGCCAGGCGTTTGATCCAGCGTGCGCAATGCCATGGCCAGCAGGCTTGCCACGTCAGCAGGATCCGCAGGAACTGAGAAAGGAGCAATGTACCGACAGGTTCGTGGTGCAGACGAGGGACAGCGGTCTGGAAATTGCACTGGAACAAGCCTGAGTGCATACGGAGTGCGTTCGAGGTTCTCGACACGCTTCTTTTTCACAAGGCAAAGAAACTTGAACAGTACTTCAAACCATGACTGTAACGCATAAGGGTCTCCACCAGGACCCACGTTCCGCCACTTCAACAGGCAAATACGAAGGGGAAATAAACCCCAGAGATACTGCTTCATCTGGTACACTTCCAAATGCTTTTGTATGCCAAGTATATGAAATCCATACAGACTGATGACCTCTGACACAGAGCACTATATCCCAGTTAGTAGCAGTACAGAAGGAACGACTCCTTCGGAGCGGTGGAGAGATGCACGTACTGCCATGTGCGTTGGGCAAAGCTCTGACACCCTTCCTTAAACAGGGAGAAATCAACAGCACTGCTCAAGCCACGTGTCAAAGTACCAGGATTCATATGCAAACCCCTCTTGCAGCATGAGAAATTCCAGCACAGGCCCCATCCCGGGGTGCATTTCCAGTTCGCCACTTCTGTGTTCCCACAGGAGCATCGAGCGGGATGGAAATGAGGTGAGAGAAGAGCCCCCTCCTCCAGATCCGGTGCTCTGGTCAACAAGGGGAGAATTAATCCCCTGAAAAGGTGACAGAGCTATATGCCAGGAGGCTCAGGGTTCACAGCAGCATTAGGAGACATTCCTGCCAGCCAGATTTAACTGTGGAAAAGCATCCTGCAAAATACAGTTTGAGTGCAATTCCAAGCTTTTTACAAGCAGGTTGAAGAACCACTTTCACTCACCGCAGAATAGAGCTGGCAGCCCAACAGGTCTTCTGCAACGAAACCCTGCCGGTGGGGCTAGGGACCAAACCCCACGCCTCAAACAAGAGAGCTCAAGTTAAAGACTGGAACTTCTCTCCAGTTCCAATCAAAGATAGGAAGGTCTTCTTCCCTAATCTGAAATCTTCATTCAGTATGCTCTAAAAGGGCTGTTCTACCCAATGAACAAAATCCACAGACCAAAAGGGTAAATGCTCTGTTCTCTGAAAGCCATGTAAAGGGCAACTTTGTTCTGCAGACGCTTCACAGAAAGACAGTTGTAGGAACTGCTGCTGCTACAGGCTCAGCTCTCTACAGGATCCCCTGTTAATGAATAAATACGGAGTAACCTGAATAGAGCAAAGTCATTAAATGTGTTTTTTAATGATTTACCTGGTTATGAACTTCTCCTCGTTGATGGAAACAGAAGGCAGATGCTGTGCTTTCATAGTCACTTTCTTCATTTATTCAGAAGAGATGAAACTAAACAAAAAGTTAAAAAAAATTATATCCACTAATGCCACTGGGAAAGACTGAATGGTAAACACAGCAACAGAGCCTTAGTTTGCCAAATGAAACAGGCTTGGACACTCAAGCTAAGGGCTGACTATACCATATTTGGACTACCTTGTACTTAGCCTTAATACCAAAATATTTCCCACTCCTAGTAAAAAAAGCCATAAGCCATTCCCACCGAGTATATCAGAGTACCTTAAATCCCAAGTACTATATATACCAGGACTTTCTTGAGTAGTTTTAGGACTACTCTACAGCTCCAAGATTATGCTTCGGTTGTTAGTAGACGAAGACTGCAACCCATTTACTGGTTAGGATTCATTTGTTAATTATGGGTAGAGCATTGCCCAGGGTCACCAAAAAAAAAGTGATTCAGCAAACCACCCTTAACCAGGTTCTTAAAACAAGATGAGAAGAAGCGTTGATCACTGGCAGAGTCCTGCAGCGCACAAAGCAAGCAGCTGAGATATTAAAGAGAGAACAAGGCTATAATTAAAGTGATGTAGCAATATAATTTACAGATCACCATGTAGCGATTCCAGCACATTGTGTTGGCAACAAGCCAGACCCACAAGACTCCAACAATGCGTTCTCCAACAAGCTTAATTATGGAGTCTTGGCTGCCTTCTTTCCCCCTCAGGTACTAGAAGAAAAGGCAGACTGAGGAAAGAAACTGAAGAGACTCAGACACTCAAGATTGACAACTGATCCTGCACTGAAAAAAACTTTGTCTCAGCCCAAGAAGTGGCATCACACAGAGGGGGGCCAGGGAGAAATGAATCCCACGGAGAACAGTAAAATCTCCAAGGACTGCACTGGAAGTTGATTACTCCACTTCTGTTTCTCTCTTGCTTGGGCATGACGACAGAGGAACTTGCCTAGCAGCACTTGATGCCTGTCCTCCCTGACGCCAGGAGATGGACTCGAGCCTGATTTCAGACTGCGTGGGACAGAGCCTGGTCAAAGCCGTTGGAAAAGCAGTTTATTGTCTACAGTACTAATGACAAATAGCCTTCAGAAAATCGATTTAGAAGTGAAATTCAAGCTTGAGAAGATTGTGGCTAGCTAAACAGTAAGTGCCTAGCTTCTGTGCTGACGATCCTACACTACTGAGCTTCTCCTTTAGAAGAAGTTACATGAAGTTTCCATGGTCATAAATGAGCGACTCCTAAAAAAAAAATATATATGTGGGAAACAAGAAGTTTTACATAAAAATACATTACCTTAAACCTACAAAACACACAGGAAGTTATTTCACAACCTCTAAAAGCAGAGTGCACTGCCAAAACGAGCTGTACGTGAGCAGCTGGGGGTTCTGACAGTGCTTGCTCAGTAGCTCACGGTAAGGAGCGGGCAGGACCCCACATACCCCCTGTCCTTTGGGTGGCACCCATCGAGGCAGAAACCTGCCTGAAAGCCAGATAAGCCCAAGGACTTCTGTACAGACACGCGTTCGTGTCTGAGGAAGAGACTGCTGTACGCCAGTGTAATGGTGTTTTTTCTTTGCCTCTGAAGTCAGTTCAGTAACCACTGGCCACACCTTGAAATCTGCTTTTACGTGATTTACTAATACCTCTAGCTGAATCAACTGCCCATGCCAATATAATTTCAAAACGATTCTAGCAGATGCAGAGGAGCTTATGTACCTTGGCACCTGAATAACTGGATAGACACTTGGGCTTCCTCCCATCCGTCAGGAAAGAACATGTTAAGGAGAGCGGATAGCCAAGTCGCTGCTATTAAACACAGAACAGCAACGCCAGCAAGCTCCAGCACCGCTTCATTGCTCATGGTTGCATTCTTTTCAATAGAATTTGACCTTAAAATGATTCACATGGAAGAAAAAGCTGATGTCTACAGACTGAGAAGTGATCTTTACACACACAAAAAAAAGATTACCACCGTACTACCTGTTCTGTTACACAGCGAATGGCTCTTACCAGATTATTTGCCTTAAAAAACTTGAGCATATCTTAACTCAGCTGGCTGCCATTAAAATGCTGACAACAGAACAAACTGGAGGAGTAGTTGGGGATGGGAACAATTCCTCAGCAACGCCTCCCCTCGCCTCTCCCCTGCTGCCCGGTCAGCCCGGACGAAGACCGCCCTTCTCTCCCGCAGCTGCTGCAGCAGCACAAAAAGCGCTCCTTGCCTTTTCCGCAGTGACCAGCTCCGCTCGTCAGGCTTCTACAAAGCACTTCCACACCGCCAGCTCACCCTGGAGACAAAGCACTGCTCCACGTACCCTTTCCAAAGGCACGCTTTGGCTACCTGCATCTCGCAGCCCTTTTTTTCAGTTAACCCTGAAACCTGCGGGTTGAAAACACGCAGGGACTTCCCCGGCACGATTATCTGACACCACAAATGACTGTGTGTTTACTCTGGTGCTCCATAAATCCACAAAGCAGTCACATTTGCTATTGCCTCCCGGTATTTGATTGTTTGCTGTGTCACTCTCCTGTAGTCCTTCTGAGGAAGCCAACAGAAGTGAGGTGTTGCTTCCAGCATTGCCTCCCATTTCAACTGACAAAACCACGCTGTTTTCCAGCTCTTCCAGCAGCCCATGGTTGTGGCCTTCTATTCAAAGCTGTCTCCTGACGTGCCTGGTGTCAGAGAGGCATCTTCGGCACTACATTAAACTGGACTAGAACCACACAATTCCCTCAGACAGGGAAGACCTTGAAAGTGGGACCTTGGCCGGACTAACCTCCTGGCCTGAAACTTCACTAAGAAGAAACTTTATACTCGGAGGAAGACTGCCTGAAGCCTAAAATACTTTCGGAAGGAAAGAAAAGAAAAAGAAGGGAAGGATGGGAGTAAATGAGAAGTGGGGTAGATGCAAAATGAGCAACTCTAGAGGAAGACTGCAACTACTGGAGAAGTCTAAGAAAAGGAAAGGGGGAAAAGACCACTGCAGAATCCCACAACTGCGAGAGGATCAGCTGTCGCATCAGGGCACAAGCCAAACCTCAGAAAGGTAGCAAACTTTACTTATCTCTAAGATTTATATATTAACTGAAATGTCTTTTTCCAAGGAAAAGTCGAAGTGTTCGTGGAGAGGCAGAGGAGCGGACGTGTTTAATTTTAATAAGTACGGTGATCTTTAAATTACACGCTTACGGGGACAGCGGAGGAACGACAAAGCAAGTGGCCACAGAGATTTTCACACAAGGATAAAAGGAGACGGCACAAGGATAGAGGAGGGCTGGAAGGAGAGGGACACTCAGCACCCAGAGCCAAGCCAAGCAGCAGCACAGCAGCATTTTCATGGAACAGCCTGGAGGTCCTTTCTGGCACATCCAAGTATGAAGATGGGGACTGCAGAGCGAGCAGGGTGCTGCGCAGAGCTCCGGCCAGCGTTAGCAGAAGCTAAAAACCCAACCTCCCCAAAGATTTCAAAGTGTTCTGACCTAGTGCTTCCCAAAGCTGTTCCAAAACCCCAGGAAGCTAGGACAGGGTGAGCCTTCTCAGCTTCTCGTACAGAAACCGCAGGGCTCAGCTGTGTATTAACTTAGCTGTCAACAACATACATGTCTCATATTTCTGTACAGCACAAAGAGATTGGCACGACAGCACATGTCCCTAAGTTACTTTCTAAACTCAGAAGTGTCTGGTATTTGGCAAAATTTTGGACCATTATCTGTTTCTTTAAAAAATGGGTTTAGGATTTATTCACATACATAATAAATTCAATATCAGCATAATAATTTTGCTAGTCTTTACCTAGCCACATGCTCTAGTTATACGAGCCTTCAAGCTGGGTTTTTTACCATTTTATTTGTTTGGTTTTTGCCTTTTTTTTTTTTTTTTTTTTTTTTTTTTTTTTTTTTTTTTTTTTTTTTTTTTTTTTTTTTTTTTTTTTTTTTTTTTTTTTTTTTTTTTTTTTTTTTTTTTTTTTTTTTTTTTTTTTTTTTTTTTTTTTTT